TTATTATTATTATTGAATGCAATTGAATTTCGAGCCGTCAGTCCTCCTGAACACTAATTTAAGGTACAGTCGTGAGCTACGGGGTTTTGGGGCTCTTGGGGTGCAAGGGTTTGGGGATAGTCGGTTGAAGTTTAAGACTCTTTTAGAACAAAGCCCTACTTGGAGGTTCATGGGTAGTTATAATTGGAGATATAAGTCCCCTAGCCTGGGTTAAAATTATACTTACCCTACTTATAACCTTACTTATAACTACCCATGAACCTCCAAGTATACCCAAAGGGTCTAGGTGCTTACATGGTAGATACTTTGGGGCCCAAAATATCTGCTATATGGGTACTTAGACCCTTTGGGATAGTCCTACGTCCGACACAACTTTGAAAGAAGCTTCGTGATCGACTAGCAGCAATTACAACCACCACCACGACGACAAGGGGCTACGACTGCTACTGCTCCTGCTCCTACTCCCACGAGTACCTGTACTGCTACTACTTATACTACGAATATCAATGCGTAACATGACAACAGCACATGCGATGTCCACTACCAGGCTACCAGGCATTATTACACATACTCGTACAACTACCATGACAACGACGACTACTACTGGTACTACTACTACTACTACTACTACTACTACTACTACTGCCTACTGCTAGTACTACGACGACGGCGACGACGCCGACGACGACTACTACTACTACTACTACTCCTGCTGCTGCTGCTGCTGCTGCTACTACTACTACTACTACTACTACTACTACCACTACTACTACAGTGGCGGCTAGTACCACCATCTGCAAATTCGGGATGGCCGGATCTTACTGGGGCCAGCTTCACGTCTTCCTCAGAAGGGGAAAGGAAAATTAGTTCCCAACCCCGCTGACACTGTAAACTGGGGCCTAACACAATCAGAAGGGCGTGCATGTCTATAGTACTGTGCAATACACTGGGACTATAAAGGACAAACACATGCTGTTCTTCCGAAGCCTCAAAACCTCAAACACTACGATTCAAACCCGAAAGTCCTAACTAAACACCTCAAACCAGCAATCAACAAGATTACATCGGGTCGACAACGCAAAGCACCCAACCCTTATATAAGCTCTGACATGCCTAAACCCTGAACCCTAAACCCTTAATCCTTAAACCCACCACTGCAAGTGGTCCTGTGCTGGTGTTGAGATCGCTGCCGGCCTGAGAGGACGCAGAAACGGCCTTCATCGGGCCGACTACCACGGTGCGATTTGCCTCCATTGCTCGCTTGGATGCCCCAAAATGTCACAAAAAACGAACAAACCAAGTTGACACATCAAAAACCGATAAAAAATGCACACACGAATTGAAACGCCCCATGGACCATTTTAGGCGACAGCCTGGTAAGCGCCCTGCGTGACTTGCAAGCTCGAGCATTCGCACGGTGACAGCTGGATCATGCTCTCGCGAAGCTGTGAGCCGTCACACATCACACGGACAAGGAGGGAAACATAGGGGCAGTAATCGCTCGCGCTAGACCACAGGTTTTGGGATATGGTACAGCATTATGGGATGACAACACTAATGATTCCGACCTCTTTATTGGGGAGCTGAGCCTTCCGTGCAGGAGCAGGAGGAGGAAGAACTTGACAACCTTGTACAGCACTTTGCTATCTGCACTACCAGGAGTGGTAGCTGATAGCTGGTAGTAGAGTTCTGTATGCAGCTGCGCAACTGTCGCATTCTAGATTTGAGACATGCCTTTTCCCAAAGGGTCTAAGTACCCATATAGTAGATATTTTGGGCCCCAACGTATCTACCATATAAGCACTTAGACCCTGTGCCTTTTGGTTGCCTCGAACTGCCAATGGTTCGGATTGAGCTCATCCCGAATGCCCCTCAGAGCTCTGTGGCATGGAGGTGCCAAGTGACCTGGCGCGGTGCGCGGAGTATGTAAAGAAGATATCCTAAGGTTCCATGTACCTCAATGGTAGATACTTTGGCCTTGAAGTAGTCCCTGGTTGGGTACTTTGGGCCCAAAGTATCTCTATTTGGGCACATTGACCCTTAGGGATGTACTTCGTAATCATGCGTGGTTGTTAAACCCCTAAACCCTAAACCGTGAACACCCCTCATCCTGGGCCCTCGGAATCATGCACGAAGGAAAGCCTCCGTGACGTTTGTGGATCCAGTAGGGAAGACGACACTAAACCGCCCGCGTCCGCCCTTCGTTGTCTGGGCAGCGCGTGTCTGGGCTAGAACCTCGCGTCCAAGCGGCGCATTTTATGCTACGAGAAGCACAAACATGTGAACCATCTAAACCCTCATTCCTTCCCCACATCACCGCAGAACACCCAGCAATTTGTACAGGAGCAGCGTTGATCCAAAACTCAAAACCCGAAACCTTAGCCCCTTCGAGGTGTTTCCAGAGCTTTCTAAGTGCGCCTGAACCGCGACTTCCAAAATCCCGAGCAGCAACCACCCCAACCCCCAGACTTCCAGTACACAGCGTGTCTACACACAGATATATATATATATATATGTATCTCTATATGTTCTACATATCTAGATATACACAACACAACATATATATATATATATATATATATATATATATGTGCCCATGCATAGATATGTAGGCGGGTAAATAATAGGGAGCCTCATGAGGTGATGCGACCACTAACTATTCAGAACTCTATTCTAAATCGAAAAGACGTTGTAAAACAGCAAACCACGCAAACCAAACTAAACCCTCAAACCCAAAACCCTAAACCCTCAAACCCTAAACCCTAAACCCTAAACCCAAACTAAACCCTCAAACCCAAAACCCTTCGCACCCAGTCTCGGGGCCTCGCCCCTGTCCATCATGCGCAGCAACCTGACTGCTTCAAACCACCCTTGAGTCTACCTTGAGAACCCAAAACCCAGTTTTTTGTAGGTTCTTATTATAAACCCTAATATGGGATTTATAAGGATCCTACAAAAAAGTAGGTTTTGGGTTCTTAAGGTAGAGCCCAGAGGATAAGGGCTTCAGGGTTAGAGGCGCTGAGACTCGGATCTCGGGGCTTTCGGTCATACTCCCAAAAGGGTCTAAGTACCCATAGGGGCTCGACTCCTCTTTGGTTAGGGCTTAAGGTTCTAACCAATTTAGGGTCCCTATTCGGGGTTTAGGGTTTAGAGGGGTCCCTATGCGGGTGTCCTTATGCTCAGGGTCCTAGCACTTAGACTGAGAGACTTAATGCATCTTAGTGCCTGCATGTTCGAAGCTCATATTATCTGCTGAATCTCTCATGTTATAGTAGGAGCTTTGCAGTTAAACTGGTTACGCTCTCCCACTTGCCAATGGTGCCCGCTGCATGCACTCTTGAAGGCAACCACTTGAATCTTCCAAACCCTCGGGCCCGTTCATACACTCAGAAGCACCGTAGCTAGAACACTAACATTCCTCAACCAGATGAAAGCAAGCAAATCTTGAGAGAAGTAGATCCCTGGCTTGCATCAACCATCCTTCCCAAAACAAGAGGTACAAGGATCCTGGTCTTCTCCGTCAAAAACAAGGACTTACTGGGCAAAAGAATACCCCTAACCTAACCGAAAACGAGTTGACACAGTTGCGAATGAGAGGTAACCTGCGAATGATAACAAGTCGTACTGAGACCCAGCTCCCTGAGTTTGCGACCCACATTGATAGAGTTAACCCAAATTTATGCCACATCTGAAACCCGTAGTACCAATAGCAGCCGTAGTAGTAGTAGTAGTAGTAGTAGCAGCAGCAGCAGCAGCAGGAGTAGTAGTAGTAGTAGTAGTAGTCGTCGTCGTCGTAGTAGTAGTAGTTAGTAGTAGTAGTAGTAGTAGTAGTAGTAGTAGTAGTAGTAGTCGTCGTCGTCGTCGTAGCTGATGCTGTACTAGTAGCAGTAGTAGGTAGAACTAGTATAGTACTGGCAGCAGCAGCAGCAGCAGCAGCAGCAGAAGCAGTAGGAATAGTAGTACTAGTAGTAGTAGTAGTAGTAGTAGTAGTAGTAGTAGTAGGAATAGTAGTACTAGTAGTAGTAGTAGTAGTAGTAGTAGTAGTTGTTGTTGTAGCTGTAGTTGTAGTTGTAGT